CAGTTCTATGGAGGAATTGTTGCATGTGAAAGTCCTCCATGCCTCTTAAGGTTTTGTCCATTTTAACTTACGTAATAGTGAAGTCAGGATTAGATCTGGGTCTAGCGTTTTCCTGCTTAATGCCTTACTACAAGATTTTTGCCATGTATTTTAAGGAGCAGAATATAAGAAGGTTTTATTCAATGTGAATACAGGTAACATAATCTGAAAGAAAGCTTTTTGATTATTATGTATTGAGTATTTTATTCAGTTCCAAAAATACTGATTATCTCTTTATGAACAATCTTTTTTTCATCCAGTTATGGGTTATTTCCAATATCAGGGTGTTAAACTTAATGTCTGAGCATGTCAGATACAGAATTATATCATGGTTTACTTTGCATCATTACACAAGACATGAAAGTACTCCTTCATGCTGGTCCCCCGTATCACTGGTTGTAGTGCAGGGAAGAGCATGTGCTCTTCAGGGGTGTCGGGGAAGGTCATACATTAGCTGACACTGCTTCTGATGCACCAACAAGTCCAGCTTTCCTGTAGGACAGGTGAGAGCCCAGAGAGAAAATTGTGGTTCTCTGAGAAAGAGTAAAGTTTGGTTTAGACCAGGTGTCCTTGAAACATGAAAAGTCAATGACTGACCTTGAACCAGGAGAAGTCATTGAGTGAAGGCAGAGGAATAGTATCCCTACAGTGTTGGTCATGTAGAAAAGAGAGAAAATTAGCACTGATATATATGTACATTGACAATACAAGCCTGATTCTGTAGGTCATCTTTTGGAGTTCAATGATAAAATCAAAATCTCAGCTTTTCATGTTTTCTGGTCTTTCTGAGAGAAGTAGAACGTTGAAAATGGGACACCAGTGGTACCAGTTTAGACACTAATATCTCTGAGTGTGCAGGCAACACTGTCATCACTCTGAACTTAACTTAGTAGCCCACTGCTGTGGGGTAACTTGTCACTGTCCTTGTATCAGCAAATTCCATTTTTGCGGAGTCATTACATTGAGGCTCATTTGATGATATTGTCAGTCATTCTCCTTCCTCACCCCATTCCCCATGCAGAAAGTCCCTCCAATGGTTATTTTTGTTTTCTGTGAACTCCAGAAGAAGTAAAGATCCAGACAGTGGGGGACCCTTTTGTAGAAAGTCCTCGTGTCTTCCCAGCCAAGGGGACCCTATAGAGAAAGGGTTAGGGATAAAAATAACACCACTGCACCAGATTTTTGGAGACTTCCTCTACTGCTGCTGCTGTGAAAAGAAGTGGAATCAAACCACTGAGATTACACTTCAAGGGGAAGGCATGTGAAGGATAGCTGGGCCATTTTGTATCTTAATCATACATTTGCCTTGGAGTCTAAACTGTTTTGCACTTGTCTGGTATGTGACAGCAAAAGTAGACAATGGAAGATCAAGAAATTTATTCTTAGGTAAGAGAGGTCTTTGGTGTGGGGTTTTCAGAGACTTCAGAAGATTGTGAGAGACTGCTAACAATTACCGTCAAGGATGAATAAGACATGTTTTTCAAATGTTAGTGATTACATTTCATAGCTAGCCTGCATATTTTCATAGCACATTTGCTCACAGGTTTAAATAATATAAATGGAAATTTTTTTAACATGTTTCATGAATGTACCTCTAAGTTATAGATCCTGTGACTCCTAATAATTACAATGCTACCTTTGGAGTATGGTGAAGTTAGTATGGGATAAATATTTAGCAGACACAAAAATCCATTTTTTTTTTTTTTTTAGCTGAAAGAATAACAAAAATATGAAAATATTCACCTAGAGATGTTCTTCTGCAAATGCAAAAAGGTGTTAGAGGATAGTATTTCTTTCTCCCATGTTTTTTATTAAAATGCTTGTTTGAAGACTAATTAAGATAATTTCTGGAGTTCTTTTGTTCTTACACTTACTCTGTTGATGTCGTACTCCTTGTCTTGTGATAATACCTTTACTACTGTAACTGAACTGTTATATATATACACCCTTCTACAATTCAACAGACTTGAAATAAGCAGACAACAGTGGGGAATGATATAAAAAAAATCCTCAATAATACATTAAAAATAGATAATGAATTACAATTAATACATGCTTGATAGAAGTTTCCAAAGAGACCAAGTTTTTATTGGCTTTTTAGAACAAGTTTGTAAGAAGCTTCGTGAAACATAGGCCCCGTATAAAAAGTTAATAGCTTGCAACTATATTAATGTGATGTCTGGAATATTACATTACTTTGTTTCCAGAGATAATCAATGATGGTAATATAATATCTGCCTCTCAGAGCCAATGTATGATTTAAATTAATTATTGCTTATAAAGCACTTTGAAGTCTTTAGCAGAAAGGTGTTGCATAAGTGTAAAAGTACTATTATTAATTTAACATCACCATTAGAGTAAAGTCAGTACCTTAGGAGCATTTGCTATACTCCGCTCAATATCTTTTTATTCATCATATGCTGCATATTAGTTATTTTAACATTTAGAAAGCTTAGTAATCTGGAAGTGTTCCAAACCATTGTTCCAGACAGCAGTTAGATATTTGGGTGGATCATGTAAAAACAGTGAAATGGCTGAGAAAGCATGTAAAATGTTTGTTTTAAGTAATATTACATCAATGGAACAGACATCTGCAGCACTGGACTTGGTTATAAACTTTTTAAACTTTTTTTAATTTAACGTTGTACTATGTTTTTCTAAAATTGATTGGGGGGGCTAATATATTATTTCTAAACAAGTATATTGTTTTACCTTTTGTTCAATTTTCATTTCTGTTTCTCAGATATTTTTAGGAAATCACATTTACAGTGGGCAGGTCTTAGGAGGTGGTGAGCACCTGCCGCTCAATATTATTGTTGCTGTTTGGTTTTGTAAACCTAATGTCAACTATCGATATCCTTATTATCTATTTTAATTTTCATTCATGTTATCTCTTGTATAAGACTATTTAAAAATACAAGCAGTGATAGGCCTTGGAGATTATAGCCTCAGAAAAAGCATATGCAATCACTCTATCATATAGTGATTACGTGCTATAAAATAATGCTGTGTGTTTACACAGTTGTTGTTATCTATAGGGTTATATTCTAAATTCTCCTAAATGGAGAAGAAGAAATTTTAGGGACCCTGTCCTTCATCTTTCCTAGTAGCATGGTCTTGAATTTATGCTTAGCTCTAGAGTTCAGCCCAGGGTCCACTGGCTTTGGAGCCAGTTGTAAGACTGGGTAAAACACCTTTAAAGATAGAGTTCAGGGTCCAGCCAGGCTCCCCAGCACCACGAAGATAGGAGGGGAGAGCAATCAGGTGAATAACAGATATGTCTTTGTGAATGGTGTAAGCTGATGTTCCAGCTTTCTGAAAGCAGTAGTAATTTAAAAACCAAATGTGTAAGTAAATCAATTATAAGATTCACCTGTAAGCAATTTGTGGAGTCAGCAGTGAGGAAGTTCGATTTTCACCATGTAGTTGAAAATGAGGATATTAATTACTGGTAATATTTTTTGAGTCTTCTTCTTGCGGTAGACATTTTATTTAAAAATACTACTTGCACTACTAGGATTAGAGGAATCCTTTCTAGGTAACTGGAAATTAATTTTGTTCTCTTCTTTCAATTTATTCTACATTCTGAGATGAATTTAATCTGTACTGCAAATGAATTAAGCATTGAACTCTTTGATTTCTCTTGGGATTACTAAATCAGTTAACAAACAGGTTTATCATCCCTAGAATGAAATGCCATATGGCTCAGGTTCACCCATCTTGTTTTCAGATATATGCTAGAAGATTAAAGTATACTGTTAATATGAAATTACACATATCAAGCTCATTTTTCAATTTATTAATAATAAGAAATAGGTTTTCCTTTTATCAGCAAACTGGGTACTCATGTTTCCAACAAATACTTCATTATGTATGAAAAGTAGCAAACTTCAGCCTTAATTCTGCACATTTCCATGCACAAGAATATCAGCAAAACTGATGAAGTATGTACTCCTGTTTTCAAGCAGGTTTAGGGTTGAGGTGTTTCTAAAAATATATTAAAAATTTTGCAATGTAGACAAATTATCCCTAATTTACATGTCACTGGAAATATTTAAAAGTAATTCACATAAATAAATGTAGGTCTTTTTAATGTTCATCCTAACTCTTACTGGTATTAATGATGACGTGTACATGCTTTCCTTGTTCAGTATAAATGTTGTCCAAGGCAAGTAGCTGTTTGCAAACTATAGGATGCCATATATGCAGCTAAATAAATAAATAAATAAATTCCTCTTCATTGAAGAGAGGTCAGTCACGTAAGAGTCATTAGGACAGTAATGAAGTGGCTGCAGGGCAATTTAAGGTTATTTAAGCACAGGCTGCCGTTTCAATTCAGCAAACATTTTAAGCCAGCACTTGAGGCAGTGCTGCTACCGCAAGAAGCTGTCCTGCCCTTCCTTTGCCTCCAACAGCTCGTTCTCATGAGCATCGCTGCGTGGTCCTACAGGTGCTGGTGCTGGCACGAGCAATAGTGCAGCTGGAGAGTACAAACAACAGCTGTAGGTGGGAGAGAAAGAACTACTTCTGGTGGCGACAGTGCTGACACAGGCTAGCTTAAATTATTTGTGAAATAACAGCCTAAATTATTGTATCAGGTAGGAGGCAGAAGATTGTAGTGAGATAACAATTGTGCTACTATTTTGAAGTAGAAGCTGTTCCTCATGGTTTGTAGATCTCCAAACCTTATTTGTTCATGTTGTGTATTCTGTGCTAGCCACAGTTTTAAAGTCTGGGTTTGTACCTTCTTAAAAAGAGTGGGGGAAGAGGAAGAAGCGAGGCACTTCAGATCTGCTTTATTTCTAAATAAATAATGCAATTTCATTTACAGTTACTGCAGGAAAAAAGATACTGCTTTTAAATGCTTACTTTGTTTTCCACTGCAAAGTATGTTAATGAAAACAGTCTACATGTCAAACCCATTCTAGAGTAATGAGAATGATCTTTGCTTTTACTTTCAGCACCAAAGGGAATACTCCATCTCTCTCCTGATGTTTATCAAGAGATGGAAGCAAGCCGCAACAAATCAGCCCCTGGTACCACTGTAAGCTATTTGTCGTCCAAAGAAATGAGCCAGACTTCTAGCTCTTTCTTCAGCATATCTCCTACAACAAATAGCACAGCTACGATTGCCAGGGAACTTCTCATGAATGGAACGTCCCCAACTGCCGAAGCCATAGGTCTAAAAGGAATATCTCCTGCTTCCCCCTGTTCTGCAGTGCAGCCTTCAAAACAGCTGGAGTATTTGGCAAGGATTCAAGGCTTTCAGGTATGGGAGGGGGAAAATGAAGCTCTTCAGCCAGAATCATAGCATTGCCATCAAGGTTTCACTCTTGCCCTCTTGAATGTGGGCATGCATGTAACTTATCTTGTAAAATTAGCTGGTGTCCAAGGTAGTTTCTGGGTCCAGGAGATACAACCCTGCACCAATATACATGTCCCTCCTTCTCTTTTTTGTTCCTTCCTTCCATTCACCTTACTGCAGGCCATCTTTCTCTTCTTTGTTTATTCTCCTTAAATAATTACAGGCCTAAATTGTGCTTTTTACTTGCACTTCTTTGAGAGTCTTCACCTCTTGGCGTTAGAAGCTCTACATACTGCTCTGCCGTTGGTTTCTCTCTTCGACTCTGATCCAGAAGGTACTGACGCACCACCTTAACTTTGCGTTTGTCTTCTGGGCCGGGTCGTTAAAGCCATTACTCTGCTTCCCACCCTGCACCTCTTAGTTGTAACCTGTAGAACAACGTTTTGATCAGAAGGTGCAGCCTAGGAGCAGACCTGGTATCAGAGCAATGCAGAATGTTTTTGACATCACAGTCAATACTAGAGAATGTAAGATGTACTGCGCTGGGTCCGTGCATGAGTCCTTCAGCACTGATGACCTGTATCCAGTAATGGCAAATCCTACATTTCATAGGACAGTGACATCCTCTGTAGTACATCCAGTCATTTCTGCAATGTGGAAGATAGGAAAAGGAAGCCTCTTCCCAAGCACCATTACATGCAAAATTACACGTGTGTATGGATGGTAGCTCATTTCACTGTGTTGCACCATCGAAGGATAGAACCAGCTATGTAGAAATATTCTTTTTCCTGTCGTAGGTTTTTGTTTTGGTTTTTTTTTCCTTTTCAGAGCTGTGAATTTGTTTCATTTGAAAAGTTGGTTTCATATGTTCTAGCATATGTAATTTGATCATGTAACTAAATTCTGGAAATGGGAGGTTTCTGTTAGAACTTTTGCATGTCTGATAATGATTTTTTTCATGAAAGCCCATGTAATTTACAAAGTATGCAGTTGTTGGAAGTGATTTAAAAGAGGCTCCTAGAATTCGAGGAATAGTGTCAGATGTTCTATTGGCATAAGCAGCATAGTTAAATTACATTTGCGTACATCAGATATCACCAGTTGTGGATTTGACCTAACGCTGTTTCTGTCTAAAATGTACATTCAGCTTTCTTTTGGTCTTCATTTTTAAAATGTCATTTTTGATTCATTAGTTTGAATGTCTCTTAATGCAAGTAATGGTAAAAGCCTAAGCCTCACCGTAGTAGAGTTAAGCTGCTAATAGGAATTCAGTTTTCCTGAGTTCCATTTGTTACCTGCCTGCAGTAGAAACAGATGAATTCTGATGAAAAGAAATTCAATCCGTGAAGTTTTCACTGCTCGCTTTCACATCTTGTCAGATTGCTTGTGTCTACTAGTAACACTTTATTTTCATAGAACCGATGCACAATTTATGTTACTGTTTTGATTCTTACTTGCCTACAGTATGTGGTTACTGTAAAATGATTAGTTGTGTTTGTCCTGGGTTTTTTTCATGCTTTGATTCTAGATACTTATGTAGAAATTGTTTTTAAAGGGTCTTACCTTGAGCCAAAAAATATAATCCGTTTCATCCGTAAACTAGACTACTACTTTTTACTTGGCCCTGATACAAACCAAGGAGTTTGGTAGAGAATCTCGATTATTAACATCTATCTGCTGTGTATATAACTGATGGTTTTACATCATCTTAGCATGCTTTTTAACACCTCGTTTGAATAAGCCTGGTATTGATGTGAAACTCTGCCACTGCTGGGTGGCTGAGCCGAGGTGGAGCAGTGAACAGAATCTCTGTGGGAAATGGCTCAGTGGCCTGTCAGGTGCATATCACAGGTCTCTTCACCATTTCAGCCTAGAAAGCTCTTTGTGTTTTAAGAGTTTAAAAGCCGATTTCTTTACAGGTTAACTTTCTCAGGCATATTTACTAAGTAGAAAACTACTGCATTTGCAAACAGCTAGCTTGTTTCATGTTTCCTGAATGACCCAAAATGATTTTTAAATTGTTAGCATGTATTTGTATTCTGGTCCGGATGATAACCATAGTTTTGTCTTTCATTGAAGAACGTATACATTCTGTTCTGTTACAATGTATTTTTGAATTTTTAAAAAAATCAATAAATACTCATATGATGTTTCATTTGTAAATGTAAAAAAATGTTATTTGCTTATTTGAATGGTTTTTTGAACTTCTTTAGCTGCAGGAGACACGTCTTTAAAATGTGGTTATTTAATTTAAATTCTTCTAAACTGTTTGTATATGATCTCAGCCATGTTCTATTGTAAGCCCTTAATATTGAGAGTTATTGGGACCAATGTATGGAAAAGTACTAAAAAATTACATTTTTATGTTTTATGGCTTATTATTCTAACGATATTTGTAATTGATAAGCAGCAGCTCAGTGTCACTGAAAAACAGGTGTTTAGCTTGGATACTTTCAAGGCTGAGGCTTCAAATTACCAGTGATAATTAAACACAAATACTTCAAGCAAGCCTTTACAGATTCTGAATAAAGCATTTTTAGTGCTTGCTTCATATTTGTGAATACGATCTACCAGTTAATTGTTTTGCAGACTTTGCCCAGAGATTGTTTAAAGGAAAATTCAGCTTTGGTAAAATTGTTATTTTTAAGTGACTGTGTGGTATTTTGGCCATTGTTTTGTAACTAGATTAGGAAAGCTACAGTTATTTTTGCTGACCATTTAAGTGCAGTAAATTATTCAGAGAGTTTGTTTAAATGGAAACATTTAGAGAAGCTGTTTACACATGAATAATTTGAGCCTTCAGTTTCTACTGAGGCAAAACACAAGTTGCAGGTAGTCCAGCAGGAAATTCCCCTGGGAGTTTCCATGAAGCAAAAATTGTAAAATTTAAAAAGCCATGATTGAATGCCCCCATTCAGTCCCAGTGTGTGGCTACAGCCATACTTGGCTTGCTGCATTGGCAGGACTTAAGAGATCTTAACTTTTTCTCCATAGTGGCTACATAATAAAACCTCACACAGGATATAGTTTCTACTTGGTGTATTCCTTTGATTGCAATGGTTACACAGTTTATATCTTTCCTCCCCTGCCCCTCCGCATTTGTTTAGTGGTTAACTGTTCCATGTATAAATACATTGATAGATTCAAATGTTTTATTGTTGGGCATTTCTAAATGTTTCTCATTTCCCCAACCAGTAGTAAAGGCATACGTTTCTGAGTGAGTGCACACACAGGAGAAGTTCTGCTGGATGCTCTAGAGTCAGGTTTACTTGTGGCCCCTACATTTCAGCACATGGTTTTGAATTGTCAGCAGATGTGGGCCTAAACTAAATTTCCATACTTCGTACGAGGGTTGACACTGAGCTCAAAGCTTTCCGTACAGTGGCTTTAAACAAAACAAACGCTCGTTTTGCTTTGTTGGAGGTTGGATTTGGAAATCAGTCTAGGAGTGCTTGGAGCTCACTACTGAGATACGTATGTGAGGAAAATTTCAGGGAAATTCAACCCTCAGTGAATTTCAAGGAAAGAGCTATAATTTTGGTCTGATCTGTATGTAATTGCAAATTTCTTGGAGCAGGTCAAACTGCACCTGGTCAAAAGCACCTAAATACTATTTTCAAAATTGTCACAGGCACTGTGGGTACTAATAGCAAGTCATTTAGAGGTGTAAAATCATCTAAAAAGGTAGATGCTTCTTGGGATTTTCATAAACACCTGTGCAGATTAGGTACCTGACTTCCAGTTCACTTGTAAGCCTGGGCACCCTACATGGTGTCTTGCAAATTTGGGCTGTTGCCCCACCCTGTGAACTCATTACCTGAAGTCAGTCGTACCTTGGAGACTTCTGCCCTGTTCTGTGTTGCCTGATGCAGACATGTCCTCACATGCTGTGGGTTGTCATCCTGGTGTGACTGATAATGGTACTTTCCTCGGTGTCTGCTCACCACTTTCGCTGAAGGATGTAGTCACTGCCAGGAAGAGCAAAAAGGGGCAAGGCTGGCTTCTTCAGCCTGGGCGCAGTATGTGAAACAGCCAGCGGTCCTAGCTCAGGCCGTGCTGTGACCATTTCCTGGTCTCGCTCAGATTTAGCTGTGGCTGCAAATGAGTGCAGCACCACAGAACTGATGCCTGGCTTCCCAAGTAAAGGACGGTGGGTGACCTTCTCATCCATCCCGCCTGAGTGTGTGAAGGTTTGTGAATCCCAGCCCTGCTTTTACCTCAGATCTCTTTCTCTTTGACCAATATTAAATTCGCTGTCAAAACTTGTTGACAGTGTTCATGATAGTTAAAGAGTTCTTGGTCTTTTTAATGACGAAGAGTTTGGGCCTGAAACCCCTTCTCCAGCAAATGTCCTAGACACAGCCATGAAAATCGGATTTGAGTTCAGTGGAAATTTTTAATACAAAAGGAATGAGTGAGGGGTTCAGGGTTAAGCCTGAAGAAAATAATTAAAATATAAACTATTATGATCACAACTTTCGCATTTTGAAATTTTGCAATTGCCTTTATCTTCCTTCATTAACGTTTTGTGTCCAAGTATGCCAACTCACTGATGATGGCTGAAATAACAATTTCAATTCAAAAGTTCTTTTCCAAAGCAGGTCACAATTAAGAAATGTTGCTTACTTAGTTAAATGAAAATTCATGGGACTTCACTAGATGGAAGTAGCATTCCTTTCGGTAGTTCTTGTTCATTACATGACCCAGTGAAATATGCACACTTAATTTGCAGGAACTCCCTGGGAGTCTTGCCATTAGCTATTTCCCTTCTTCCTTACCTCTGAAGCTGTTTTTTACCTCAGTAAAAGCAACATCTTGTCCCTTTTCAGTCTATCTTTTTCTCTTCCCGCAGCAAGCAGGACTTTTTTCAATTGAAGTTTCGCTGGTCTTTGCCAGCACACCAGGATATTTCTTTTTGATGATCTTCAGTATAGCTTAGGATTGGAAAACTAAGGCCAGATCCT